TCTTTTTTCTTTTTCAAGATTTTATCTATTTATGTATTTGGGAGAAAGAGAACAGGGTGGGGGAGGGAGAGGGACAAGCAGACTCCCCACTGAGCACAGAGCCTGACGTGGGGCTCCAACTCACCACCCTGAGATCATGACCTGAGCCAAAATGAAGAGTTGGTTGCCAATCAAGCCACCCAGGCACCCCGACTCGGGCTTCTTAATCACACATTAGAATTCTGCTTTGCTGGCTAACCTCCATTTCCTGGTCTTCACATGGGTGGCATGTTATAGTGGAAAAGGAATGGTATTTGGAGTCACAGGATCTGAATTTGAATCCTATCTCTGCTACTTAGCGATGAAATCCCAGGGAAGCTTACTTAGCTTCCGTGGACTTTGTTTTCCTGAACTGGTAAAATAAAGATGATAATACCTCACTTGCTGGGTTACTGCAAAGATTAAGGAAGACTAGTCCAAGTGCACTGCAAACTGTAGAACACCTTACACATTTCATTTACTATTATTGGCCACAACTTCTCCGGAGAATACAGGAAGTGAACTGCAGTCCACTTCATTGGTGTCTTTTTGGGATTCACCAGAAGGGACAGAACCTGTCCAGACTCTAAAATTGAGTTTATTGTAGTTTGACAAGCCCCTGAAACTTCTCAGGCTGCAGTTTTGATGGTTGACTCAGAATCCCAGGATTAGATCTCAGAGCCTGCACACTCAGATGCTGACAAGATGCTGCACAGCATTGGCCTGAAACGAGACTTACGGTCATGACAGCAGGGATTGCAAAATCTGGGAAAAAGGCAAAAAATGAGTCAAGAAACAAATGACCTAAAAATTTAAACTTATAAATAAAGTAGAAGAAGGATATAGCAAAAAGCTAAGGGAGGCCCTGAGTATTTTACAGCTAACTTCAGGGGCCCCTAAGACTTTCTGGTTCAGCCCTATATGAAGAGGGTAATGCATACAGATATTAATTCATAAAGCATATGAAGAGCCCGGAATTCTTTCCCTCATCTGTTGCCCATGGGAATATCTTGTCATGTACTCTTATCATCACCTTGCAATGATTTCTAGAAACTTCATGTAAACATATAGAGAAAAGAAAATATTAACCTCTCCCATAACTCACATGTAGTGGCCAAAGAGGAAAGTGTCTTTCTTGTAAACAGAGATCTTCACATCTGTTCTTTCTCTTGTAAACTCCTGACATCAAATTTATTCATTGCAAAACTCATTACTGGTCAATTTAGTCAGAACCACCAAAGGGATTCTGGTTTTATATATATATATATATATATACATATATACACACACACACACATGTGTATATATATATATATATATATGCTCCAGAGTATTAAAAAGGTATTATTAAATGGTATTAAAAAAACCTTTGGGAAAATAGTTGACTTCTTATAATGATTTGACAGAAGGGCATCATCATTTCTATCAAGCCATTATATATCTTTTAAACCACACATTTCTAGTTCCGCTCTGAAGGCAGAATCAGCCACATTTTGGTATCCCTATGCCAGAGACCAACAGCTGAGCCAGCCCCATGCCAGAGAAAGTAAACTGGCAACACAGACTATGTATGGAGAGATTATGCAAAGACTTCAAATCTTCCGTTTTGATAAAAACTTGCAAAATGAAACAGCGAGAATATAATTAGAACAATCTGTTAGACCCAAGACTGTTAGTATCTTTCTCTTGCTCTTTTCTTTTCCCACTTGGAACTTTCACTATTTATCAACCATTGCAGATCTAGAAATACCAGTTGGGTAGAATTAGGCAAAAGCTAATTGCTATACTTCAGTTCAACCCAGCTGCTATCCATGGGCCTCGTTAGGCTCTCTAACGACCAGCTTCTTGGCCTCAAAGTGCCTACTGGAAGAAAGAGAAGCCCAGCTTGGATGAAAGGAGGGATCCAAAAGAATTATCAGAGAAAAAAAAATTAAATTCAGAAATATGAAATAGAGCCAAAGGAACACCCAGTTTCAAGGACCCAAGTTTGGGGACATCCGTTCTGTTGACTTCTATCTTTCCTTTCTTTTAATTCTTGTCACACAAAGGAAGCATTACTGCTACATAGTCAGCAATTATTGGTTCTCAGACTGAGAGCAGAAATCAAATCTGATGTGACTCCTGATTTCTCCATAGCCCAGTGAAGAGAAAGAAAAGGTGGGACAGAGCATACGCTTTTAGTTTAGGAACTCTGAAATAATCCAAAGTCCGCTTAATGTCGGTGTTCCAAGTGCTTGCAACTTTCCTAGAGGAGGGAATTTCTTGCTTGAAATAGCCTGGTAACAAATTTGTTTACCTTTCGTTTCTCCTAGGGGACACTTCTTGCTTTCCACCTTGACTGGAGATCTTGTGTTTCTGTGCTTAACTCAGGGTTTTCTTGTGAGGCTCTTTTCCAACATTATTTTATGCAGCATTTACTGGTAATGGGGACATTTCAGATAGAAGCTCAAGCAGTACGTACACCAACTTCCATATACAACTTCCAATACTTCCATATACACAGACCGTGTTCTCTTTGCTCCTGTTTGTTCTTAGAATGCAGATGAATCTGTGCTGGGCGCTCCCCTTGGCCTTTCTGTGGCCACACAGCTGCTCAATGTCTGGTTGGGATTAGGGGCATAGACCAGGCCACAAAACAAATAAATGGGCCCTGCTGGCCAGTGAACACCCAACCTTGGCTTTGGCACTTGCCCTAAACCAGGAACAGGCAAGCTTTTTCTGTGAAAGGCTAGTGGAACATACATAGCATGATTTGGGGCTTTGAAGGCCCTATGGTCTCTCTCAGGACTATTACTATAGCCATATTGTGGTGTTAATAGGGCAGTGAGAAAGCAGCATAAACCATACCTCAGTGAAGAGTGGGGCTGTGTTCCAATAAAACTTGATGTACAAAAAAAAAAACAGATGCTGTGGTCTGTGGGCCATTGTTTGCTGACCCCTGCAAACAAACCTGTCTGATCAGTTTGAACCCAACTCATTCAGTTTCTCTTCAACAATGTAACCAATCCCCATCCTGAAAACCACTTAATATATTCCTTGAATGAGCCTGTCAGCTAGCATTGATTTATGATGCCCAAATCAAACTAAAGTGTGGTAGAAAAAGAAGGCAAATTTTATTAAATTTTGGGGGAGGGAATCCAGTTTCTGAGATCAAAGGGAGATACTAAACTTGTGGGACCATTTTGCACAGTCACTTATGTGAACAATCAGCCTCTTAAGCAAACCACGTTAAGAGAATAATCGCTACCCCCCAGAAAACCACAACATCACATACCAGGGTCCCGTGAAGCAGGCTACACTCTTAAGGCCTATAAATGCAATCTGTCCTCTTTACCTTTTGGAGGTTACATGGGGCAAAACACGTAGCAGAGAGCTCGGCACGTTGTGAACATTATTATCCTCTTTAACATATAAGGAATTGGAGCCTTGCTTCTCTTCCTGTGATGTACCTATGAACCACCTGGGGGACTTGTTAAAATGCAGATACTGATACAACAGGTCCAGGGTGGGGCCTGAGGCTCTTCATTTCTAACAGGCATCCAGGTGAGACTGATGCAGCTGGTCTGAGAACCTCACTTTGAAGAATAAGGACTTAGAGCAGTGTTTGGCAACGTGGGTTACACACTGGAAACTCCTGGGAAGCTTGTCAAACACCCAGGCCTTGTCCAATCCCACACCACATGGGTCAGCACCTGTGGGGATGGGGACCCCGATGTAAGTACTTTTTAAAGTTCTCCAGGTAGCTGTAATGTAGAATTTCAAGACTGAGTGTTGCTGAATTAGAGGCTCAGAGAAATTAGCTGACTTGCCCAAGGGCACTTGACTTTAAATGAGGTTAACATTTTTGCTTGCCTCATATCTGAAAATGGTCTTGAAAGTTGTCACGAGGCTGGGCACAGGCAAAGGTAGTTTCCAGGATGACAGCAGACAGGAGGCGGGGAGGAGAGGAGGAAAGACGAGTTGAATTTATTCACACACAGTGATACCCACACTGGTTAAGGGAATGCAGATAAAGCAGGCAGAACTGCACATGGATTTGTCCCCGTGTAAAAATCCCTCTTATGACTCTTTCTTTCTTCATCAAAGCAACAGGGCAAAGAGCCTCTGGGCTCCAGAAATGTGCAGTGCCTTCAGCTCCTTTGATGAATCACACCATGATGAAAGCCTAGAGGCTGAGTAATCACATTTGGCTCCCTTTCTGCCTCTTGGGACATTCAAAAAGTCATATTTATGGGACTAGGCAAAATTTCTGACCCAGGGATTTCTGTCCTGAATAAGACCAAGCTAAAGGAAGAAGGAGAAGAAAAAAAAAAACTTGGGGGAAATTAAGGGACAACCCCAGATTTGGGGGTGTCTCCTAAATGCGTGCAACCCAACATTGAGTGTAAGGCCATTTCACCTGGAAAAACACACGGATTTCAATGACGTTTACACAATTGTTTAACCGCGGTTGTACAAGACCAGATCCGTTTTCTTACTCTCTGCAGATCCGGTGGTTTATTAGCCCCCCTGGGCTGAAGACCTTGGCTGTGTAATTTGGGACATCCTATCTCAAAAGGGAAGTGCAAATAAATGTGCGGGAGGACCTGGACGTTTCCCAGACTAAGCAGATGACAGCTGCCGAGGGTACGTGAGGTGCAGATTCACCCCTGGAAGCCTCATCCTTCCAGGTAGAGGATGTGAGGAGCCCGGGGTCTGGTGGGTTCTGGGAACAACGTGAGCTCATGTGAAAATTCACAACGTTGAACATGCAGGAAGAACTCAGTGTTTTGCCAAATGTTTTCAGTGGCTTAAATTCAAGCATGACTTTCCCCACACCTCTATTCCTTTGGGATATTCTCGAGGACATTTTATTTAGTTTCTTTACTCTGTCCCTCTCTGACTCCTTTTGGACAATAAAGAAACATGAATCATGCCCGAAAAGACATTAGCCAGATGTTCTGAAGAAGAAATAAAACTCCGAGGGCTCCAGTTTCTGTGGGAAGCATCTTGCCAGCCTGAGTTCAACTGGGCTTTTTGGCCCCACAGGCTTCTTTCTTCAGGAGTTCCCATGTGTGATCCAGACCTGCTGATCAGTGTTCGGTGGGGTCACATGTTCCCCACTCACAGAAGCTTGTGACTGTGTCCTAGGAAAGGACCGTGGAGCCACCGGAGTCAAGCCATCCCTCATTTTACAGATGAGTAGAAGTGAGCTGTGCAAGGTCTCAGAGTGATGCTGGGGCAGCAGGGGGACCAGAGCCCTGACTCCCAGAGCAGCACCCCCCACCACACCAGGCCACCCCTCTTCTCAACTGAACATGGAGCAGAGCAAGGGGCTGCAGAGAGATCACTTTCGCTTCCCAGAATAAGAAGGTACCAACCAAATGAAGTTGGTAAGTGACAAAGAAGTTCAGAAATATTAACTATGAGGCTGTTTAATTTACATATAAGCTCTTTCTAGAAAGACTACCAGGAGGCTGGGCTGTGCAGCTGGTGGTGTGGGGTCTCTCTTTATATTTGCTTCTGATAAAGAGCAGTGATTCAAGACTGTGGTTCATGTCAGTGACATCCGTGAGACCAACAGCAGGGACAGCCAGACAGTCTTAGTTTGGATTTTTCTCTCTCTGCTGGGAGCTCACAGTGGGGTGAATCCTTCCACACGTGAGCCAAGAAGTCTTTTGTACACATCTAATGGAGGAGTCATTCTTCCAGGAAGTATACCTTGGACGCTTTGGTAGTGAGGATGCTGAGGGAAAAGGCAGATCCTCAAGAGTCAGGAAGACAACAGTCCATATAACATATTGAGAGTGTACATCAGAATCATCAGAGCATGTTGAAGAGGCAGATTTTCTGTCGTCTGGCCCTGGATGTGGCTCATTTGGTGTGTTCTGGTTTGGCTCTCAGCAATTTTTTTTTTTTTAAATGAGCTTCTGATCTAGGTGATCCTGGTCCCACGTGTTCAGAAATGCTGGTCTGGTGGGCAGAGAGGTCCTTTGAGACTGCAGAAACAGATCTTTCTCTAACTGCTGGCTTTGTGGTCTATCTCCAGGAAGGGCAAAGGGTAACCCTCTGCTGTGTCTCTCCCAACAAAGTCAGGGGGGAGAGATGAGGAAGTGTGTTGGGATGGAGGAGTTAATTTGAAAGTCCCTTGGAGAGCACGGTGGTAGCCCTCCTTCTTCTCACATTTAGGAAACCTCTCTGCTTGCCTCCTTTGTCCTAAAAAAGGAAGGCACTGAAGCTATCTCAGGGAAGGGAGAAATGTGTGAAATGACTTGCACTTAGATTCAATTTTATAAGAAGCAGTGATCACACACCGCTTACTAGGTATCACACATCCTGTTAATAAAGTGAAAAAAAAATACAAAAAACTTCTCACAAAAGAAAATGACCCAAGCACTTTTGAATCTGTATTTCCAGAAGATGTGGCCACCTAGTGTTACTGTAACAGTGAGAATCTTGGAAAGGATCTGAGGTCACAGTGAAGTATCAGCGTAGCGAGCAGACATTCCTCCCAAGTGCTTGGCATTTTTCAAATGTTTTGCTTTTGTTTTTGCTCTGACTGTAGCAAATTAACCGTGATATGAAAACACCTTTTTTCTCCCCCCTGTGCTGTGCCTAGAATACCATGAGAAAAGCCACAGCTGTGGGAAACACGGTGGTGGTGGTGGGGTGGGGGGGCAGTGAATGCAAAGGATGGAGCCAGAGAGCGAGACAGTGGTTTCTCCGGAAGGGGAGAAGAAAGAGGCCCACAAAACAGAAGACTAGAATATCCAGGTGAGATGCTCAGTGATGAATCGTGTCCACAAGATTCCAAAAGGCCCCAGCACTTCTTTGGACACGGAGGGAAAGGCTCCTCACAGCACAGTGAGTAAAACGTATTATAGCCATGTAAACAGCAGGCTCCGGCAGACGCAGTGGGTTCTTATTTTTAAAATTAGGCATGGCATCCTACATGTGGAGGAAGAAATGACAACTTCTCCTCTCTGTGCCTTGGTATATGTGCATCCTGGAGATGTACTGAGAAACTTTGCTGCCTCATGTGGATGTTAGTAGATGCTGAATCACAAACATGATTTTGATGTGAGAGTCCCCGAGAAAGTTATCGTTGATAAAACAACAGTGGGAGCTGGAGGTGGACCCTCCTTCCCCACACATTTCTAGGTGGCATCACAGGAGGAGGGCTCGAGTTACACTGATGTAATAGATTGTCATTCCTCCCAGAATGCTAGTGTTTGAAAGCTGGAAAGGATCTTAGATATTTTCTCCTTACTTTTACCCATCTGCTTTGCTCTCCTCTCCCTGTCATTTTAACTGAAAGAGGAGAGCTGGAGGGACTCACCCAAGGTACTAGTGTTAGAAAATGGCAGCATTTCTGTGAGGAGTCCTCTTGCCAGCTAATCTGAAATCAGCTTGGATGGAAAGGATGGTCAACGTAGTTGTATTGATTGTGACAAGTGTACCACTCTGATGGCCTCACCTCTGCTAGAATGGTCATCATCAAGAAGAGGAGTGGAGTGTTGTCAGGGATGTGGGGAAGAATGGACCCCACTGCAGGGTGGGTGGGAATGTAAATTGGTTCAGCCCCTGTGGAAAACGGTCTGCAGAACCTCAAAAAATTAAAAATATAACTACTATGTGATCAGCAATCCCACTTCTGGCTGTTTATCCAAAGGAAATGCAAGGATGTCAAAAAGATATACTCAGCCCCATGTTTATTGCTACACTATTCCCAACAGCCAAGATATGGAAACAAGCTAAGTGTCTGTCAACAGATGAGTAGATAAAGATGTGGTATTGTACAAATACATGTGCACACACATACATACACACACAGGCGCATGCGCACAACGGATTATTATTCAGCCATGAGAAAGAAGGAAATCCTGCCATTTAGAGCAACATGGTTGGACTCTGAGGGCATTATGTTAAGAAAGACAAGTCAGACAAAGACAAATACTGTATGATCTCACTTGTAAGTGGAATTTCAAAAAGTCAAACTTGTAGAAACAGAGAGTAGAATGGTGGTTATTGGGGGTTGGAAGGCAGGGCAATTGGGGAGATGTTGTTCAAAGGGTACAAACCTACAGTAAAGAAACAAAACCAAGTGCACCACTCCAGGAGGTGGATAGTGCAAGAGTCTGTGTCTGTGTCGGGGCAGGGGGTATATGGGACCTCTCTCTACTTTCCTTTCAAATTTGCTATGAACCTAAAACTTGTCTGAAAAATAAATCTATATAAAGAGAAAAAAAAGATCCACCTTTTTTGTGACAGTGAATTCAACAAATTCAATTTATTTTTCTTGTGATTGTAATTTGTGGCTTTTCTTTATTCTAGAATATATATATATATATATATATATATATATATATATATGGACCCTCCTTCCCCACACATATATATTCTATATATGGGCTTACTACAACCAGCATGACATTATTTTGAAAGATGCATTACTGGATGTATCGCTTGAATAAATGGAAGTTGAGAAACAAAGAAATATCTCAGCCCTAAGCCAATGGGATTTTCGCACCAGCCCCATCGCCTTTCTGGATTCCAGTGTCTTCATTGGCAAACTGAGAGCATTGGACTAGATGGACTTTAATGTCCCTGCAACCAACCCAAAGGCTCCCTGAGTGTAGAGCAAATGTTTTGAATTGTTTTTCCTTGGCAGTGATGGTGAATCCATACTTTGGCTCAGTGCTGTCTCCCTGGGTCCGTGTGAGACCCCCTGGAGGAAGGTGGTCCAAGTTCATGGTGAGGAAAGAGGCCTTGGCCAGCACTTTTAAGGATCAGGCCTTGGGCTTCATTTGCATCTTGCTCTACTTACCTGAACATGTGGTCTTGTCTTTAGTATAAGAGTTGGCCTGAGCCAGCCCAGAGTCAAACAGGACTTTGGTGTTTCTGGATAAATCACAGTCCTGTTTGCATCACAATGACTCAAAAGGGCTAAAATTGATGACCACAATTCAAGATAATGCAATGATATGGAAGACAAAAGTAGTAAGGATGATAACCAAAAGTCAGTAATCTTGGAGGGACTTTGTACAATTCCCACAGGCATTTAAATAATGTGCTGAAAGTCTCTTATCATTTTAAATCAATAGAGCCATAGCTTTTACTTTTAATCATCAATTCAACAAAATACAACTACTTGCTTATACTACTATTGTTCAGGAAGATCTTAAAAATGAGGATCTTGAATTCCAAATCCCCATGGTCAGCAGCCTTTGAGAATATATCAGCAATGTAATAGAAAGCAAACTTAGGAGGATAGTCATCCAAACATTCTGTAAACACTTACAATAGTGATCATCCAGACCCACCCATCCCCCATTTTTTTTCTTCCCCTTCCTTTGAGTGAGCAATGAACTTCTCCAGGCTTTATCTGGAATTCTGTGAAGTTGTTCTGGGCGCCCCAAATAGCCTTAAATATCAGAAAAAAATTTTTTTTCCTTCATTCTTTCCTTCCTGCCTTCTTTCCCTCCCTTCCTTTTTTTTTTTCCCCCAAACAGAGGATCTTATGAAAGTACTGCGGGCAACAAAAAAGAGGCAAAGTAGCAGTAAACCCACAAAAATGCCTGTGTACCTCTTGCTTGACCTTTGATGGCAGCCGAGACATCACAGACACCAAGAGCATGTAGCATCAGGCCCCTGGGAAACAGAAAGCCAGCACTAGAAGTCTCTTCAAGAGAAACATCAGATAGCTGGCTCCTGTTGTTTCAAGCTTTACAAACAAGGTACAGTATGTGAACACCCTTTGTCTATTCTAAAGCACTCCACAAATGCAGACCGTTCTTTGTTGACCCGGGATAGGCTGTCAGGCAGATCCTGCTTCCATCTGGAGCTATGATATATTTCGTAAGACAGGCAGGTGGGACAACTTGGTGGACACAAATCCCGGGTAGCAGTAAGAAGCCTGGGTTCTTGTTCTGGCTCCTATGTCACTGCACAAATCTTAAAAACTTTGTGCCTTTGGTTCTCCTTTTATTTTTAGAAGGGGAGAGGTCAAGATGGAAGAAGAAGAGCTGTATGATATCTTCTTCTCCTTCTTGTCATTCTCCATCGTCAAATCTACTCTCCAGGTATTGATCATTTTACAGTTAAATTTTGCCGATGGCTTGTCTCTGTGTTCACCTTCAAGTGAGTTTTTTCAAAAAGGCTATTTCAGGTGCTGTTCACCTTTGCATCAGATTCAGCTGCTTAATTTGGGCTTTTCACATCCTCCCTGAGTACCTCCACCTTGTCTGGCTTGAGTGTTTTCAGCAAAAGCCTTTCCGTGTTGGTCCTCGGTGGTGACGTGAGGCCAAGAGATGTGCGCAGTGCTCAGGAATATGTCATGGGAGATGCGGTGCATCCCCCCACTCTGTACTCCATCATTCCTCTGGGTTATTTGCATCCACCATTTAGCTCCATGCTTCCCAAATACTTTTCTAGAACTTGACACTCTTACCAGCTTCCCCAATGTTCAGCCTGGGACTTTTTACTGGAATCTTGCTCTGTGGCCATAGCTTAGAGAGAAAGCTCCAAGGTTCACAGTCTTTGACAACCAAGTGGGAGCCAGCAGAGCTTGCGATTCTCTGCTTGTCCCCAGAGACTAGTCCTAAAGGCTCCCAGAAAGCTTTTGTGGCCTCAGCTCTCCCTGAATGCTGAAGCCTGCAGCCAAACCAGCCACTTTCCATAAAGAACAAGAAGCCTACCTACAGCCTGTGTGTTAGAGTCAACCTCACAATGAATAACTGAGATCTTTGAATTTAGATGTTGTTGTTTGTGATAATAACAGCTGTGCTTAATCTAGCAGACAGCAGTGGCACCTCTCTGTGGAAGGGTAAAGTTTAGGGCAAGACATGACGGGAGGGATGAGGAAGACCTGGAAATGGGCGGTCAGATTTTATTCACAATGAGGTGTCTTTGAATTTTAAAAAAGTAGTGATGAATCACAGACATTTATATAAAAGTATCACGCTTCAACTACAATTTGATAAATAACTGTAACAATCTCACTTATGACTACTGGACACAAGAAGTGTATCACAATTAAAAAATAAGCACACACACACACACACACACACACGAGCCTTCTCTGTTATACCATGACCCAAGTTTTCCAAGTCCGCTTCAAAAAATATTCCTAAGGATTCATTTTACTTCTCACCTCCAAACTGTTCATTTTTTTATTTTACTGAAAAATACATAAAGGGCTTTTTGTTTTATTTATCTTGTCAAGAAAGCTTGACAAAAGAGAGGATGAAGCTTTCTTTGCTTGAGCCCTCATCATTAAAATCCTAATGAAATATTTCTTGTTCCTTGAAGACTGTTGTATAAAGAAGATTTGATTTTCCTGAGTAACTGGAAACATCTTCGTGAGGACATGTCTTGCACTAAAGATAGGCTCTGGGTTTTGGATTTTATGTGAGGAGATCAATTAAGGCAGTTTGCTGCCTTTATGTTTTCTTCCCAGAGCTAGTCTAGCTGCTTCATGTTTACCCCTTTTCTCTAGCACTCAAGGAGCTGCAAAGAGCAGGCAAAGGAAATGCTAGGCTTTTTCAAGTGCAGAGATGAGTGTTCTTCACTGAAATGAATGCAGGCTGCTGTGGGGGTGTTTTCTTAGGTCAAAATCCCTTAGAATAAAACTTACAAAAGTCATTGTTTCATTACCTCGGTTACACACAAATAATTTATGAATTTATATTGTAATTTTTCTTCCAGCTGAATCAGAGCTCTACGATTTTCCAGATAATTCCATGCAGAAGCCAATGGCACACACATTCCTGAGACTTTCATTGCAATCAATAAGTTAACTGTTGCTGTCAGCCTATGCAATTTCTCTGATTAACCTGTGAAGAGTGTTCTCCTTCATGAATGCTGTTCAGAAATAAACAGATACTGTCAAAGGAGACAAGGGCAGGTTCCAGAACTTGAATTCTTGGTGATCTTAAATGATGATGTATGAAAGAAAGAGAGAGGGAGAACAATTTGATTTGCTCCAACTAGGTTGACCCAGAAAGGAGAAGAGCAGAAAAATTGCTTTGCCTAAGCAAACATGACATCAAGTAAGACAAGAGCAGCATTCACAAAATGCAATATGGAAGCCTTATTTAAAATATATATAGTCTGGATCTGAAAGACACTTAAATGCCGGTAATAAAAAAGTCTTTGCTCATTCTGTTTTTCTGCTGCTATTTTTCTATCCTCATTGGCAACAGCTTCTACCTCCTCCCTGAGATACTGTCCTAAGATTTGGAGTGGGACTCCTTGGCTCTGGTTGAATTATGATTGAATTCAAAGTTCAGATAGGCAAAAAAGCCATCCAACACTAAAAATCAAGCTGACTTCCAAAGAGATGCTGGTTTTCTAAGGCAATATAGACACCCCTTTTGTAAAAAAGACTTAGAATTCTCTGAGAATTCTAAAAAATTTAAACACAATCTTTACCAGTATCTAGTCTGCATGGAATTATAGCTAGATTTGTCTGGTGTCCCCCAAAGTATTGTGAGCTCCTGATTATGCTCTAACCAGCTATCCTTGGTTCAAATTAGTGCACAATAAATATTTGTTGAACGAATGAAGGATTTTCCTCTTCTTTTTCATGTAAGGTTTGTCTTAGGGTTGGAGAGAGTAATGAGGTCGATTTTTATCAACTTAAAAATCTTGCCTTGGTCATACATATTTGTGAGTGACAATATTACATTCACTCACATGTTTTCACTCTATGCGAGACACAGAGGGACACAGGTCCCCGCCTTCTTGACAGTAGGCTTGGTCATGTGATCCCCTTTGGCCAATGACCTGTGAACCGTGTGCTGTGCCCCTTCTAGGTGGAGACTCCAATAGTTGTCTTTGTCCCATTCTCACTTCCTCCACTACTGTAACAGGTGAAGCTCCAGATGATGGCTGTGCTGTGACCCTGGGTCCTGGAGTGAGAGTGATGATCATGTGCAGCTGATCCACAGAAAACCCACAAAACATATTTGGCATGAATGAGCAGTAAACTTGTGTTCTTTATGAGTCATTTTGGGGGGTGTTTGTAGGTGCCTTGTTGCCTAGCTCGGCTTATCGAGATCGATAAAGTATTGGCAAAGCTTCCGAAGATATTACCCAAACCCAAATTCCAAAAAATTATTTGTTAACCAGCAATATCATGGTGCTGTTGCAGCTGCTGGTTGTTCATTTACTGTCAACCTGACTTTTTTTTTTAATAGATTGGCCAGTCTTTTAGGTGTTAGAAAATATGTACGAAGTCAGAGCCTTTGACGATAATGATCATGAATGAGCTTAAGTAATAAAATTATTGTGTATTGCAGATATCTTTCTACCTTTAACATTTATGAAGCGAAGTCAATTTTCACTCAAACAGGTTTCTTTTCATCTGGTTTTCTCTACAATGTTTATGCCTGAGGTTTATTGCTAGCAGTAAAGAGTGTCCAAATATGTTATGGGAGTAGCCAAATTCCCAGTGCTTTAAAATGTATTCCATAGGCCCCAGAGTCAGTGAAAAGCTGATTGATTATACAGCAAATACATCAAAACTGGTATTTATGAAATACCCCATTTCTTCAGCTCTATCTCTCATAAGCGTGAACATCACATTTGGGAGTTGTGTTGTGGATATCTCAGACAGCTATGAGAAAGAATTACTGCAGGTTTTCCATGACAAAGAGAAGGTTCTTTAAGCTGCTCAATAAGTTAATAAAAGATCTATGTCAACTGATGCCTCTCATGAACACATATTTTAAAAGGTGTGATTTAAGTAGTTTAGTATGGCTTGTCTATTCAGGCTTTCATATTCCAGTCACCAAAACACTTGTTACATAGCTGAATAAAGGACAAATACACTTTTTTCATCAGACTGGTTCAGAACTGACAAAGTTTCTGTTTAATTTGTTCAAGATGTGGGCAAAAAGTTCTGGCTTAAGAAAGTAGAATGAGGTATGGGATAGCCTATCCCAAAGATGCTACAGATGTTTTAGTGTTTTCCGTTGGCATATTTGGTCCATGATAATTCATTTGTTAATATATCTTCCATGTATTCTTTAGTAGTGTAATCCATCTTAGATTACAAAATCAAACTCCTATTTCCTATATGCTCACACTGTATGGACTCTGTACTAGATATTATTCCCTAGAGGAGACAGAGTGTGTCTAACAGGTTTGATAAGCTGTGCTTTTTTGCAAGTAGTAACTCTTGCCTTTTTGATGATGCTAGCACTTACAACATGCTATGGTATAGATTGTACGTGGTAGCTAGTTTTACTAAGTGCTATGTAGCAGAGAAGAAGCAGGTACATACATTGTTGATTGACTGATGCATAAAGGATGCATTGATTTGGGGTTAGCTGCAGTCTAGGAATTCTGAAAGAAATTTTCATGTCTTCAGGGGAAAGTAAGCATATCAGCATACCATCAAGCAGATAGAAAATCTGTCTTGCTGTATTTGGTGTCTGAAAGTATAACATTTCATGTTTGTGACATAGTCAGAGGTCAACAAAGCTCTAGCTTAAATATTTCTGAAGACAAAGGACAGTTTAACAGAATTGAAAATAGTTTGGTTGGTCAAATCCCCCCCAGAATGATTTTAAGGACCACTTATGCCTAAACGGTGCAAGAGTCCCTCCCCCCCCCCTTTTAAAAGGGGTGGCATACTTTATTTCATCAAGAATCCATGTGATTCTCTGAATGTGTCGTAAAGCACAGATGCAGAGTGGGCTTCAGCATCTCCCAGGGAGGAACGCGGCCAGTGGGGCGATTCCTCTTCTTTCTCCCCGAGGCACACAGCCCAGTGCAATTGAACACCGCCTCGCCTGAGCTCAAAGAGAGGTCTGCGCTTTTCCAGTTTCACCATCCTTCCACATTCCCGAAAGAAGAGCTGCTCCAGGATGTAAAACCAGTCCACTGTCCCCTGGGTGCGAAGTGAAAAAGCCACACGAGGAGCAGGCGTTCCCTCCGGGTTCCCAACAGGGCATACCATTGAATTCGCTGTGTGCATCCTCCAAGCCCATGGAACGAGCAGCATATCCTGCAGATAAGCCATCATTTTCTATGTGTGTCCTATGCTACGAAGCGGAAAGAAGCCTGTGTCTGGCGGCTCTCCCAGCCACCAGGCGCTGCTGCTGTTGCCCGAAGGGCAGGAGCTGAGACCAAATGAGTTGCATGGTCTGGTTACAATGTTTTGTATTTTCTCCCTGCTTTGAAAGCTCACTGTATTTTGCTGCTGTTATTACCAAGGGTTCATTGAAGATGAAACCGGGGTGTCTCAGTGGGGTTTTGCCGTAAAGAGATAAAGCAGGTTCGGACAAGACTGGGCAGTTCACAATTGGAAGTGGATTGAGCAGTAGGCATTTGTTGGCTGGGGTGAATGTGGCATAATTTATGCTGCGGCAGCAGAGGCTGAAAGCCAGTCTGGCCTTGACCCATTTATCTTTAGAAAACTAATTAAAGTGGAGAATCTGGTTTACTGTTGTTATTGAGGTTTTACTTTTTCCTGCTGCTCAGGCCAAGCAAAGACTGAGGGGTGTGTGTGTGTGTGTGTGTGTGTGTGTGTGTGTGTGTCTGGGTGGAAGGTAGGAAATACCAGTTTCACTTAAAGACAGTGGCTGAGGCTCTAGATAATAAAACAGTTTCTTAAATACAGCCTGACATCCTTTTGAAATGCAAAATAGTGGATTTAGCCGGATGCAGAATCCTTTGAGGTGACAATGAAACGCCATGGCAATTTACAATGAACAACAGACAGTTTCTCCGAATCCTTACAATCAAGACATCCTAAATCACACCAAAATGGCCCCAAAGAGGCAGAGAAGAACGTTTTTATGACCAGCATTTTGCTCTGAAACTGGTATTAACCATCAGGCAGGAACGACACCAGAAAGTGAGCTGCTTTGTCCATTTTGTTTCAGAATAATAAAATAAAGTGCATAACTTGATATTTTGCAAGTTCTTCAATCTATACGTAATAATGTCAGTAATTCTTATTTAGCACCAATGGCGAACCAGTGAATTTCAAAAGTAGCACCGTTATTTTTGGCCCAGTTAAGGAAGATTAGAGGAGGCCAGCAGGGAAGTCCAGCAGACAACATGGGGGTGGAGGATGATATTATAATTTATATGCCTTCCAATATATTCAAGAAGTCGTTCCTCTTGGGGGAAAGCTACAGGGATCCTGATAACCATAAGATAAGGAGATCGGACTGGCTCAACGGCTGGAAAACCTGGAGATATCAGGAGAATGTTGTTGAGAAACACGGGCACGTACTATCTCAGCTGGAGCTACTCTAATTTTATCAAATGAACCAAACTAATAGAACCCTGATTTGTCCTACCCATGACGTTTGCTCCCCCCATTTCCCATTTAGCATCAGGAGACCCTAAGCCATCTGTCTTTCCTGTTCCTTCTTCAAAGTCTCCTCTTCCAGAGTATTCCTATTCCAGATTTACCTCTTAACTTTCTTTTGTCATTCAAACTGCCCTGGGCTCAGAGAACTGTGATGATGAATGGGAATACTCAGGGGACAATTTCCTTTTAAAGAAATGAATTTGAACAGAGGAATTCACTGCCTGAATATAAGGCCAGGCAGACATGGGGCACTATGATGTCACAGGTGTGCTGCATGAATAAATATGTGCCCTTCAGGGGAGAGTCATCGTTTCTCCTGGGTCCACAATGATATGCAGGGTTCAGAACCTTATTAAAAGGTATTATCAGTATGGGATGTTAATTTGAAAACCAGATTAGAAAAATTAACTATCTGATTATTATGGTTAATATATAAAGTCAGGTAAGATAACCTGGGTGCGCCGTCCTCAGCCCCAACACAAACCACTTTGTAGTAAAAAATATCCAGGCCCTCCCTGAATGCTCTATGAGACATCAGTAAATTCAAGAAGGAAGAAAAAAAAGAGTAAACAACCTACACCACAGACTATTTCTTAACCCCCCTAAATTCTCTGTCCTCGCTAATGGAAAAATTAGCTCCTTATGCATGACAGCTGATGTTGGTTCGTTGTTATTATTAGCGAGGTAATTATTCGCTCAGCACAAGAAGGAAAAAACCAATATATTCTATCAGGGAAGAGCTAATTTTTCAGGCAGACTACACATAGTCTGAACATTGGGATAGAATTTAAATCAGCCACCAAATGAGTTAGTCTAACACAAAGCTTAGATTGAAAACCTTGCCGTTGGGAAAGAATACCAAAATGGCTGTTAACCATAAATACCAAACAGAGAGGAAGCGGCTAACCCTCTCGGTCATGTGCAGTGTTCAACACGCTCTAGACAGTCTGGAAAGGGAACGTGGAGGTAGAATTTCTCGAGAACTCTCTGAAATGACTATATGAAGACAAATGAGGATAAGAGTAAGAAAAAAGAAGGCCAAAGCTTACACTATGTTGCATTGTCCTCCACACAATCCTCTGGGAAGCAAGAGGAAAACAAATTTAAAGGAAAAAGAAAGAGAGATTATTCTATACATAATAGCACAGCACAGGTATAACGTTTAGCTTTGCAGGCTGGCATTCCACCCACCCCAAACTCCCTCAGAATGACCAGTAGAATATTTAAGAAGCCCCAGGCTGGCATTCCACCCACCCCCACCCCAAACTCCCTCAGAATGACCAGTAGAATATTTAAGAAGCCCCAGGCTGGCATTTCACCCACCCCCACCCCAAACTCCCTCAGAATGACCAGTAGAATATTTAAGAAGCCAGTACGATGTTGAATACTTACTGGAGGTTCATTGGTCTAAATCATCACCAACTTGATGAATTAACTTCCACGTGTTTTTTTTTCTTTGAAATCTACTTTTATAAAACACATTCCTCTAAGATACACGATTTAAAGTATATTCTGCTCTGATGAGTCCACTGGGGTAAATAACAGACACTCCCTGCCCAGTGTGTGCGGGATCTATAACGCATGTTGTGCTCAGTTTTCTGAGCTGTACAACTAATTATCTTTCACAGATGATAATCTGAACTATCTCTGTATTCTCGGATCTTCAAAATCGAGCTCTTTTAGGTTGATGTATTTTTTATAGTCTGTACTTCCAGTGACATTCCAGTGGAAGTTTCTTTAAAAAAAAAAAAGAACTCATAGTTTCATGTCAAATTGTGTAAGAGAATTCATGAAGTATAAATTTACGAAAAAAGGAAGAAAAAATCAATCGTTTGCAAATAATCACTTCTGGCCTATTTAATTGAAAATCAGTAACAGTAAGCAGGGACAGAGGGCTGCTGGGGTGGGTGTTGGTAGCAGGAAAGACATGCGATCGTGGGGCCAATCTGTTAACCAAAATACCTGATGGCATTTGTATCTTCAACAAACCCTGGCTGCTGGCAGGAAGGACTGTGATAGTCTTTGATGAGTCAGCTTTTCATCAGCAGCTGAATTTATACAAATGTATTCATTCATTACTGGATAATAAAAATAACTTCCAGTAGTATGTCTGAAAGCCACTGACTACCTAAACTGATTTTTATGTCCATATAACTTTAGAGGAACAAAGAGAAAAGCTTCCTAGTGATATAAAAGAATTTACAAGTTCCTTAAACATCTAATAGAGGTTAAATGGTGGAATTGATGTATTTTTAAGAAAGGGTTTTATTTTTAATTATTTTATGTAAGTTCTAGCAGCAGTTGGCCCAGGTTGGGGTTAGGAGATTTACTTCTAAAACTAACCCCATAATTACCAGTTCACATAAAAAATAGCATTACAATAACTGATACAGGAACACTGACCAAAAGATTCCAAAGTTAATTAACACAGGTACTCATTTTAAATGGTAGTAAGAAGCAACTCCTCCAAGAGCTTTACAGTTATTTTCACTTTGGCAAAAACAGTGGGGTGACTGGGATATTCTTTAGATGCTGTCCTTGAAGCTTTTTCTCTGCTGAAAGACTTAGAGAAATTAAGGGAAGTCTTTTCTAATTATCCTCCTTCTCTGGGACACATGCTTCTTATAAATATTCAGGAAACATTTTTTCAGGAGAAAATTAAAACAGGACTAGGTAACATGAGACTTGTTTATAAACAGTCAAAATAGGCTGTAATATATGGCAGACCCATCAAGAGAGTTCACCAATGCATGCATCTTGGAGATGATTTGGTCTGACTGTTGACATTTAAGCTGTCATATAAACAGTCGGGCTAAGGTAACTGCTTTACCTTTCCACTATTCAGAAATACATTGAACCCTCAAAAGGAAGAAAGCCTTGGTCGGGAAGCCAAGGGCTGCAAATGAAGATTCTGATATTAGCTTTGGGTCTAGTTTGTGTTTCTCAAGAATAACCTTGTATAGTTCTTTTTGATGTGGAAACAGCCTCTTGCCCTTAGGGACTGGGGAAGTGACTCCAGGTCAGTTTATGGCTGGCTGTGAATTACAAATCACTAATTCTTACAATTTGGGAATTTAATTCAATAAAACATTAATAAATCTGCCATTCTCTCTTACAGAGCCTTAAGTCACACCATGAGGAAGTTAAGTACTATGTGCTGTCAGAGAACATTTTTGAATAAAACTGACTTATTGATTTAAATTCCTATGCACTGAATCTGGCCCTTATGCACCCAGTCTAGTCTTTGGTTTTTACCCATGATCAAATGATTCACCATGACTGATCCTTTTCAGAAAAAATATTGATTAAAATATATTTTGGGGGGTGCATAAAAATAGAAAAGCCTAAATCAGTTTGCTATTTGCCAATACTCTTGAAGACCTTTATATTGGGGGCATTTCGAAGATCATCAGTGAATTTCCTTTCTAAAAGAAGGTTCAAATTCTAATTTCCTTATCTATCAGATATTATACATCATGTGGCAATCTCAAAGCGTTGATGCTTTATTTAGGTTGTACTAAATTGCATACATACTGCTGTCTTGAGAAAAATATATTTCTTGCTCTACTTCCCCTGTTTGAGTGTGTGTGTGTGTGTGTGTGTGTGTTTATTTCTCTTAGGGAGGAGAGAAAACTGTGCTTGTTTCAAAGGGAAAAAACATTAATTAGTAGTCATAGATATCATTATATTGATCCAATTCAGTGCAATTTTAACTAAGTGCATAATGCACCCAATTGTTTTTAAATTTTACTTTATTGTGGTAAGAACACTTAACATGAGAGCTACCCTCCTAACAGATTTTTAAGTGCATCAAACAGGACTTATCTATAGGCACAATGTTGTACAGCAGATCGCTAGGACTTACTCATCCTGCACCATGCCCCAGTTCTTAAATTAGAATTTGTGAAAATTCCAAAAAGCCTGAATCATTCCAATAACTAAGTTAGAGCCAACTAAAATGGAAAAAAAATAAAAAAGAGAGAAAGAGAGTGAGAGAGAGAGTGAGAGAACTCAAACCCATACTCACCATTTGTGCTTTGGTGAAAAGGATTTTAACAGACAGAGGAGTTTGTAAAGTAAAACCTCAAACAATGGACTCTCATGATAACCATCATTTCTTTAAAACAATTAGCTAGCGGTTCAGGGGAATCTAATTGGTTGTTTAAAAGAAGAAAGGTGACTATTTTTAAACTCTTCCTGAAACTGGGAACAGAGAATAGACACGACCAAGGTAACATAGAAGTTTGAAGCAATATCTGGATGATTCTTTTTTTGAAACCTACACTGAAGAGGGGTTTTTTTGCTAATAAACAGTAATAGATTTATAACATAATTTAGTGGCTAATGACTCCACTTACCCCTTCACTCTGGCTCTTCGTGGATAGGCCTTTATGTTGTAAGTACATTAGATTTTTATAGACAGAGATGCTGAGATGTACTGAACGTGAAGGCCAAACTCAACCAATTTAATCTTGTGAGTCCTACGCTGCGGAAGGATATTAACTAAAATGATAAAGTAATTTATAACAGTGACTAGTAAAAGTATTTTCATAACCAGAAACCCTTGAGATCTGAGTTTATATGACATAATCAGATGTGGTTCAAGTATTTTATGACCTTAAGGTTTTTATCTGTTAATTATACATCAAGATAATTGGCAAGGCAACATTATCAGTGCTAACAATTACAGGTATATAAATTGTTTATAGTGCTATAAATTGCATTGAAAATAATCAGGCAGTATTTCTTTGAAATTATGAGCTTTTCATTTTTTATAGCAAAATTTGATTTTTAAAACATTAAAAAATGGTGTTTACTATGTTTATTCTCCAAGTGGATTGCTTTGCTGGTAGATATCAGTTGGTCCCCTGACACACATTTAAGTGGATCAAAGAGTGACTATTTTTAAGGCTTCCAACTTTTAAAAGACACACAAAAAAGAAAAAAAAAATGGTAGTAACGTTGACTTGGGATCTCCTGGCAAGGTCTTTCAAACAGAAAACTTTATACACAAGAGGGCATAATAAAATTACACTGTATCATAACTGAATAAATAACAGAAGCAGGTGAGTAAGAAATGCGCTATTGTAATTATATCTCTGGAAGATATAGTAACTTAGTCTTCAGATTAATATTTCAGAAGAAATATGAAGTTGAAAATTTGGCCACTGCATGAGTGGATTAATAGGATAAAACGCCTTAAATAATCTAATTCATGACCTAAAAGGAAGATCTCATTATTTTTCAATATTCTAATTAAGACCAGGAGCAGATATAAGAATGAGATGACTTTTACAACCAACTTTTTCGGAGTCCCATCACGTCTCCTGAAGAATAACCTTGGTAACAGAAAGTGCCCACAGTGGCCATCAATCCGAGAGAACTCACCAGCCGGTCCAAGCTCGTGCCTGCAGCAGTTGTGGGTCTCTCCTCAGGATTGTAAGGCCTGAACCGCGTATTAAAATTTTCAGGAGCTGAGCGAGCAGATCGGAGGGCTGGAGCAGGTTTGGGTTGGCCACACCCCTGAAAGACCTGGAAGAACCATTGAAAGGTCAAGAAACTTCACAGTGAGTTTCTTCCTAAGATCCTGGTACAGAAGCATGCCAGGCAATGGCTTTCCCATTTTTCCTGGGACTCCAATCTCCAATAAATTCTAATCTCTAAATTTAAATGACGACTACTGCTAATATAACAGGAAGCCTGACTAGACAGATGTGGGGTGCATGCCTCACTGCATGCCGACTCTTATTTTCAAACATATATATTCAGTCCTCATTATTTGCAGATTTTGTATTTGCGAATTTGCCTACTCGCTAAAATTACTTTGCAAACCCCAAATCATTAGTCACGCACTTCTGTGGACATGGGTTGAGTGGCCCTACATGCATGTTCCCAGCTGAAGCTGAACCAAGTGATGCTCTGCCTTCTTGTTTCAGCTCACAGGCTGAAATCAAGTGTCCTTTCTGTGGCCTCTTTAGTGCCCCGTTTTTCACATTCTTGTCCTTTTACTTGGCAATTTCCCTGTTTAAGATGGCCCCCAAGTTCAGGGCTAAAGTGCTATTTGGCGTTCCTGAGCCCAAGGGGCTGTGTGTGATGTGCCTTATGGAGAAAATATGTGTGTTAGATAAACCTTGTTCAGGCAGAAGTTCTGGTGCACTTGGCCCTGAGGTCAATGTTAATGAATCAACAGTATATACTAAATAAAGTTTCTTTAAGAAGAAATACACATAGGTTGCTTATTGGTTGGTTGACAAAAGGTGGCTAAAAGCTTCCAGGAGCCTAGCCCTGTCTTTCCGGCAGTTCAGTATTTGCTAATTCAGTATTTACAGCCACTTTATGAAACATAACTACCACAAATAATGAACATCAACTGTATTAAAAATAGGAATTGTAATAGCTACGTCACAGGATGATGTCAGGACTAAATGAACATGACCGAGACCTTTTCATGTACTTGAATTTGGCATTCAGTAAATACCCGTGTGGGATTCCTGTTACCGTTACAAATGTTATTTTGTGTCTAGCATCTAAGGCCAAATAATCTGAGTGGCCCTGCCCTGCGGTGTGAATAAGGAAAACCTGCACTGGAAGAGTTCTTTGAAAACACTCTTTGGAGCAAAGGTGTGGAAATAGGACAAGCCAATGTGGTGTCCCTATAAGGACAGTTCCGTCTAATTTTGTTGTTGACAGCTGTTGATGTCACGGTTAGGTTTGCCATGGGAAACCACACATTTCAGTGTAATGATCTTAGGGATCGAGCAGCCAGCTCTTTTCCAGTGATTTCAACTCAGGGTGCGGTGGGGACACTTCCTCAGCTGTTTTTAGAAGCTTCCTACTCTCTGCTGGTTATCAAGAGATAATACCTTTACTAGAATGACAGAAACTCTAGTGACATTTTCAGGAAGTTTTGATGAAGTTGAACTTGACATTTCTTCCATTTTTCCACAGGAGGTGGTGATTCTACTTCTTAGCTACTTACTTTGGTTAACTTTCTGGGACTATTTGTGTCAGCTAATTCTTAACCTGCGTGTGTGTGTGTTTAGAATGCATGCATGCCTTTGGGTTTTGTTATTTGAATCTGCTTTGCTCTAAAATAAGCATTTTTCATCAGGCACGTTATGGGATTCCACCGAAATACACAGAGAGCTCTCAGAGTGCCATTCCCAATGACAAATTCCATCTCGAGTCACAATTCATTCGGTGTTACCACTCCAGCTCATTTCTCTTTGGTCGTATCCAAAAGTTCTCCTTCAACTCAGCATTTTGCAGAGCAGGAGCATTTTGTCTTGGCGTTCTTCGAGATTGGTCTTAACACACTATTGATTATTCTTCTCTCACACAATTTCTGAAGTTGATGGTGTAAACCAGCGTGATAAAGATAGTGGGCCCTTTTCTCCCTAGTGACTAAATCACTTCCCAGTGGCAAGGTCATTGCTGATGGAGGGCATTAACATTTCCAAAGCTCCAGGGTTTTGTTGAGTGTACTATTTTGGATTGCTCCGAATATGGCAGCTGACTTTTAGAGACTGTAAAGCCTAAGGCAAAACAATGCTAATGGCCTTGCTGGGGATTTCTTGAAGCGGGGCACTGAAAGATTTAACAGACCTTCTTAATTTGCTCTTTGGGAAAAACCTGGCTCACTGGTTTAAATTAAATCAAAGGAACAAGAAATGCCCTGAAAGAATATTAGGACCCCAGGGGAGATACCTCATCATAACAGAAAACCTTACCACTTGTTTGATTTCTTTTCTTTTGAGAGTATCAATTATACAGAACGGTGAGTTAAGTCAGTATAGCCTAGTAGCCTTTTGTTATTTATATCAGGTTTGGATTTTTAAGGTGGCTTCGGTGCAGAAATTGCTGAGAGTATGATCCAAATGGAAGAAAACACTGCCTTGTAATTATGATGGAAACAACACCTCACCTCATAATCAGCTGGAGACCTACAGAAAAATCTGTCATAATATGTCAGGATATGAATCCTGAAGTTCCTTCAACAGGTTCTATTTTACCCTTAGAAAAAAAGGCACGGTCATAAAGAGATCCTTCAGTGTGGAAGTGACATGCCTAGGGATTAAGAGTGGGTTTTTGGAACTCTACAAAACCTGCAGGGAAGAGTTGGGAAGGAGACTGGCACACCCACGCCCTGTCATTGCTTAGGAACGATGAGAAGCCCTTGTCTGATTCTCATTGCAGAGACTGTACCTGAAGCAACATGTATCCGTCATATTACTTAGATGAGTTACAAAGTGAAAATCAATGCATTCAGTTATCATACATGCAATCTGTTGGTTAGACAACATGTTTTTAAAACCTGGGGTTCATGGGATGGGTGACGAATGGAATTCTTGTGTGGGACGTTCAGATTGTCTCAGACTATCTTCTGAGCTTACTGTGGCAGCTGTATAGTTAAGACAAAGTTTTGTGGCTCATGAGGCTCAGGGCTATGTTACTCTAAAGGACCGATGAGCCTTTTTCCTCTTGGTCTAGGGCACCCCAATATATTGTATTTTGAATAAGGGAAGAAACAGATGAGGAATAATGTGGGTCAGTTAAGTGAGAGGTTAAATGAGGTTAGCTTACATGAGAATCAGAGATCAAGATTCTATTCCGAGGAGCGGTCAGGGCTGGAGAGGTAGATCTGGGCCACTAGCCTAAGGTGGTATTTAAAGCCCAGGGCAAGTATATGGATGGGTGACAGGTGGGGCTAAGGACAGCCCAGTGCCATGCCAACATTCAGGGTCTTCCCTGCACTTTAGTCTCCTCCTCTGTCAAATGGAAATGATAATATTGTTCCCCACACTATGATGATAAAATGCAGTACATAAGGCAGGAAAACAGAAGCCATCATCTGGAAAAGTAAGTGCTTGACAGTAACTAGCTACTTACGTTATTCTACAACCATTTTCTTTCTAGAAGTTTTGTTTTCTGAGTAAGGAGATTTGAGGGGAAAAAATGTCTGGGCTGATGTTTCTTCAATGTTTTCCATAAAACATTATTACCAAGAGTTGTTAACAGTTGTTACATATGCAATAAATTCCATGGTCAAAGTGAAATTAGGTATCTTGGCAGGTCCTGGTCATATGAATGTGTGTTCTGACTCATCAAAAGGGAGGAGGTCCTTTGCAGTAATTCCCCATTTGGCCACAGGCTCTGCAGAGGGTGCAGGAGGTTCTCACAGGATGAGTGTTCTAGGGAACATACCTTGGGATGCTCTGTGTAGTTTGCTTTACCCCACCAAGAGAAGCGATTCAGATGTAACACATTCAGATGCATTGATTCAGAGGTGTTTGTGGAATCCATTCTACCCTCCACTGCCTCTTTTTTTTTTTAAAGATAAAACAATTTTTTAAAGTTGAATTATATTTGACATACATTATTATATTAATTTCAGGTGTACAACACAGTGATTCGATATTCTTACACACTACAAAATGATCACCTCAATACGTCTAGTTACCATCTGTCACCATAGAAAGTTCTTATAGTATTATTGACTATATTCCCTACGCTGTACTTTATATCCCTGTGACTTACTTATTTTTTTTTATAACTGGGCATCTGTCCATCTTAATCCCTTTCACATGTTATACCCCCTTCCCTTCTGGCCGCTATGTTTGTTTTATGTTATCTATTAGTCTGTCTCTGTTTTGTTTTGTTTATTTGTTTTGTTTTCTAGATTGCACATATGAATGAAATCATATGGTATTTGTTTTCTCTGTCTGACGTATTTCACTTAACATAATCCCTTCTAGGTCCATTCATGTTGTGGTAAATGCAAGATCTCATTCTTTTCAATGGCTGAGTAATATCATTATGTATATATAATATTATATATATAATTCCATTATATATATAATATTATATATATAATTCCATTATATATATAATATTATATATATATACACATATATATATGTGTATATATATCTCACATTTTCTTTATCCATTCATCTATCAATGAACAGTTAGGTTGCTTCCATATCTTAGCTATTGTGCTATGATGAACATAGGGGTACTTATATGTTTTCAAATCAGTGTTTTTGTTTTCTTTGGATAAATATCCAGAAGTGAAATTCCTAGATTGTATGATGGTTCTATTTTTAATTTTTTAAGAGACCTCTGCACTGTCTGTAGTGGCCGCACCAATTTATATACCCACCAACAGTGCATGTACCCTCCACTACCTTTAACTCAAGAGAAGAAATACTATTTTTAAGACACTAAAAGTCTTTTCTTTACAGCGGAACAGAAGTTTCTAGAGAACACAGTTGCAGGCAAGCCATCTCATTGTAGGAACATATCATTAGCTTTATTCCTTGAAGAAATAGAATCAGTATTATCTTCTGCCTATCTTCCTCCAAGTGATGTTGTAAGAGATAATTAGATACAGTGGTCCCCCCTTATCCATGGGGCATATGTTCCAAGACCCCCAGTGGATGCCTGAAACAATAAATAGTACCAAACCTATATATATGATTATGTTCTTATACATAAATACTTATGATAAAGTTTAATTTATAAATTAGGCA